TGCCACCTTGGATTTGGGCACAACAAGCCCTGGTGCCATTTAACACCCATCCCTGCTGCTGCCAATGGGTGCCGTGTCCCCAAGCGTGTCCCTCCTTATGACACCCCACCCTGTGCCCCAGGTGGCCCAGCTCAGGGACTTACGCTCTTCCTCGGCGTGGCAGACTCAGCTCTTTCTGCAACGAGAAAAGTGAGAAGCGGGGTCAGAGTGTGGCCCTGGGAACTGGAGGGTGCCCACCTGCAGGATCGCTGCTCCTGCCAGCCACATGGCAGCACCCCTGCTGTCACACCAGGCTGTCACTGCAGGGTCAGTCCCCACTCACCATGCCCAGGGTGAGGGTGACAAATCACCTGCCCAGGGTCGGCACAAGGGAACATCTCCTTCCAGTGTCCCCGGGGCTGGTGGCCCGATGGCCAGGCCCAGGAGCAACGGCATGAAGGCGGTGGAGAGGGAGCAGCACCACACGCCCATCTGGAGCACAGCCCCAGGGTGGTGGCTATGCCATGTCTCCCACCCCATCCCCCCATCTCAGGACTGGGGAGCAGCCAGCAGCCCCTGAGTTGTTTATTTTTTCAGCCACTGGGAATATTTCTTGTGAGAGCTGTTTGCTCGCAGGTGGTGCCACAGGCCAAAGGGCAGCTGTGGGCAGGAACCCCAGCCCATGCCATCCTCCTGGTGTGCCAGGCACTGTCCAGCTCTGACAGTGCCCTGGTGACCACCTGTGTGCCACTGGGCACACCAGAGTGTCACAGATGCCACCGGCACTCTGTGTGGATTGGCTGGTGTGTGACCTGGCTCCCTGTGGGATGCTGGGACATGTGGCAGCTGCAAGTGCTGGTTAATGCCCCATCATTGCCCTTATCCTGTGCCCACCAATCCCACAACCCTGAGCAGCTCAGACCCATTCCTAGCATGGGCAGGGACCTCCTTGAGGGCAGGGACCACTCCCACCCGTGTGGGGACACCCAGCAGCACACACAAACCCCCCAGCCCCCCTGGGCTCCCCATGCCCCATCCTGCTGCCCACAGCACATAGCCCCTGTGGAAATCCCGGGATTGGGGCGCTCTGCAACGCAGTGATGCAGCAGCATTGCCATGGCAACGGGTGACATCATGCCTGGGTGCACAGGGACTCGGCAGCCCCAGGCCTACGGGTGCGTGTCTGCCCTGGGGTGGCGTGGGTGCAGGGAGAGGGTACACGGGGTGGGGGCGGGTGTCCCAGTGCACCCAGCTGCACTGGGTGACCCCAGGCCTGGGCTGGGGAAGGGGATATGGGGTCCTTGCATTAAGCGGGAGCCCCTCAGCACCTTCACCCAGCCCTGCCATCACCCAATCTGGATCCCCACCCACACCCGGGACTGTGCCACCGGCCACCAGCCCCCACGCAAGGGTAGAGGCAGGGAAGGGTCACACGGAGGGTTTTACTGTTCAGCCATCTGCAGATGGGACAGTGGGACAGAGGACAGACACCCTTGTCCCCCATGCTCACCCCCATGCTCACCACAGCACAGCCTCCCCACCTATCTATGGGTGCAAGAGTGCAGAGCGATCTGTGGCACCCAACACCCATCACTGCCAGGGGCTCTCTGGCCATGCTGTGCCCCCAGGGATACCCAGAGCATCCCTGATGGCCCTGAGGACCCCAGTCCTCCTGGGGCAGTGCCACAGGGTCAGCACCCACAGCTGGTGGATGTGGACACACATCCAGCACGGTGTGTCTCCCATCAGCAGGTCCCATTGGGAAGCCAGGATTAACCATCAGCTGATCCCTGTGAGGAAAGCTTTGGGGACAGCATCAAGGATGGCATCAGGGATGGCATTAGGGATGGCATCAGGGACAGCCCTAGGGACAGTTCAGGATTAGGTCCTTGGTAGGAGCCCCTTCCCACCCCTCCTGCTGTGAGGACGGGGGCACACGGCCAGGCCCCACAGCTCTGCTCTTCCCAGGACCACCAGGAGCGACCCTCACAGCCAAAAGCCCCAAAGCCTATGGCCATGGCTCTGTCCATCCCCATCCATGGGCGGGCAGCTCCCAGGCAAGGCTCTCCCTGGGCTGAGCATGCAGCAGAGCGCAGCTGCCTGTGGAGCTGCCAGCTCGGATGAAGGCAGTGCCGTGCCATCCTCCAACTGCCCCGACAGCTCCGCCCGGGCCCCCCGGGAACTGCAGATGGAGATGGAGGCGTGAGGTCACCCGGAAAATCCGGCTCAGCACTCAGCAATGTGAGCCAGGGGGTCCGTGGTCATGACCCCTCTGAGCATGGCAGTGGGTGCCCAGGGTTCCTGAGGGATGCAGGATGAGCAGAGAGAGTGGATGTCCCTCAGGCTGGGGAGCATGAGCACAGGGTGGTGGATGGGGCAGCTGTTCAGAGAGGTGCTGGCACAGCGGTTTGGCACGGACTGGCATCGTATGCGGGACTGGAGGGACCACGGCGCTCCCATGGGAGCCCCCACACAGTTGGGTGCCCCCCACCAACATCCCATGGCATGGTTGGGGCTCACACCCTGCCCTGCTCCCGGTGCTGGGTGCCTGGCTCCTGTCCCACCTGTCACACACTGCTCACACACAGCACCCACCTCTTGCCCCCGCAGCACCCACCTCTCACACGCAGCACCCACCCCTCACACACCCCCCCACTCAGAGCACCCCACTCCCACGGGCAGCACCCACTTCTTGCACACACCACCACACAGAGCACCCATCTCCCGCTCACAGCACCCACTTCTTGCACACGCAGCACCCACTTCACACGCACCCAGAGCACACACTGCTCGCTTACAGCACCCACCTCTTGCACACCCATACCCCACAACACCCACCTCGCACCCGCAGCACCCACCTCCCGCACACCCACACCCGGAACAGCCGCCTCTCACTCAGAACATCCACCTCCCACCGGAGCACCCGCCTCTCACTCGCAGCACCCACCTCTTGCACGCCCGCACCCCGAACACCCACCTCCCACCCACAGCTCCCGCCCCCTGCGCCCCCGCAGCGCCCACCCCTCGCAGACCCGAGCACCCCCTCGCCGCACGCTCACCGGGACCGGGCTCCCCGCGCTCCCTCCCGCCCCCGCCCCGCCGGTGCCGGTGCCCTCTCGCCGCGCGCGGTGCCCGCTCGCCGTGCCCTGTGCCCACCTGGAGACCCCGGCGCCGCAGGATGCTGGGCTCGTCCATCCCGCCGCCGCCGCCGCCTCCCGCTGCGCCCGCTCCGCCCGGTGCGCCCGGTCCGCCCCGCCGGTGCGCCAGGGGCGCCGCCCAGCGGCCCCGCCGCGTCACCGGACGCGCATCAGCACCGGCACCGGGGCTGGCACGGCACGGGGCTGGCATGGCACAGAATGGGGCTGGCACGGCATGGAGCTATCACAGCACAGAACTGGCATGGCACAGCATGGCACGGGGCTGCCACAGCACGGCACTGCATGGCATGCAGTCCTGTGGCACAGGACTGGCATGCCACGGGGCCAGCATGGCACAGAACAGACTGGGACTGGCATAGTCTGTCTAGCTCGGTACAGCTCAGTGCAGCCCAGCAAGGCACAGTCTGGCACAGCATGGCACAGCATAGCACATCATGGGGTTGGCACGGCATGGGGCAGGCACGGCACAGAACTGGCATGGCATAGCATGACACAGGGCTGGCACAGCGTGGGGCTGGCATGGTGTAGCATGAAATGGGGCTGGCACATGGAGCGTGGCACGACATGCAGCTGTCATGGCACAGGACTCTCATGGCATGGGGCTGGCCTGGGGCCAGCATGACACAGTGTGGCACAGGGCTGTCACAGCATGGCATGCAGCTGGGATGGCACAGGACTGGCCCAGTCTCCCTGGCTTGGTACAGCTCAGTACAGCCCAGCATGGCACAGTCTGGCATGGCATGGTATAGCACATTATGGGGCTGGCACAGGGCTGGCACAATCTGCTTGGTTCAGCTCATCCCAGAATGGCAGACTCTGCCATGGCATGGCACAACAGAGCATGGGACAGCCCAGGACTGGCACAGTCTTCCTGGCTTGGCACAGCCCAGCATGACACGGCCTGGGGCTGGCACAGCAGGGCGTTGGTGGGAGCTCAGTGTGGTCCAGCCCAGGTCTGTCCTGGCTAGCACAGCACAGCACAGTGTTTATGACCTGAGGCAGCACTGCCCAGTACAGTCCAGCATGGCATGGCACAGCCCAGTGTGGCATGGCATAGTAAAGCATGGCCCAGCCTGGCCAGCATGGCACAGCACGGTCCAGTCAGGCATGGCACGGTCCAGCATGGCACAGCTTAGTGTGGCATGGTACAACATGACCTGGCCTGGTTCAGCATGGTACGGCAGAGCCCAGTACAGCCTAGTACAGCCTAGTCCTGCTGTCTGTTGTGGCCCAGCAAAGCCCAGCATGGCTCAGTTCAGCACAGCACGGCTTGGTGTGTACCCGCACCCCAGTGGGCAGGACAGGGAGGGCACACAGGGAGGCAGGAGGTGCCAGGGGCCCTCTGTGCACCCATCCCAGCCGTGCCCACACTGTCCCCGCACAGAGACACTCCCACCACCACTGCCCTCCGGCCCCGAGCGAGCACCACACAAGGAGCCACTTTCTGTGGGAACAAGGGGACTCTGTGCACGGCCCTCGGTGCCACCCGGCTCCACCATCCCGAAGTCAGCCGTCCGTCACACGGTGCCACCGTGCTCTCCCACCTCACTGGGGCTTTGTTTGTGGTGCAGGGAATGAGCTGTGCTGGGCACAGCAGCCAGCTTTGGAAACACACACCCCCCTCCCCAAAAAAACCTGGACAGCCCCAACCTTGGCGATTCGCCCAGTTAGGGCCAGAAGATCAAAACCACGCTGTGAAGTTTGCAAAAAAAACAACCCAGCCAAAAACCCCAAGACTCATCTTTCACTTACCTTGCACTTCTGGCCGTGCTGGGGCACGTGGCGCAACTGGGACATGAGGTGCAGCCGCGGGGCAGGACCGGCCCCATCCCGGCAGCCGTGCCGGCAAAAAAGCGGGATATTTTGAGTTGCTTTCTCTTTTGTTTCTGGTAAAAGTGAGGCAGGCACTCACGTCTCACGCTCTGACCTGCCTGGGAACAGCCACCCTCCGGCACGGTCTGAGCAGAAGAGGAAACACCAGGCGCGGGAAGCTGTGCTGAACACAGGGGCTGCCACCACGCCTGAGAGGGGCACTCACTGGGTGCTGGGGGATTGGGCAGCCAGGAAGGGCAGGGAAGCCCTGAATCCGGAGTGGGACACCCCGGGTGGGCGATGCTGGGGTGGCTGCTGGCGGCGCTGGTGGCACTGGCGGCGGGCGGTAAGTGTTGCTGCGGTACTGGGAGATGAGAGATAACTTCAGAAGACTTTCAATGAGTGATTCGGGGGCGATAAGGCCCAGGGAGGTGGTGCTGCGATGGAGACACTCACCCAAAACCACAGGGATGGAGTAAAGGCGGTGAATCCCTGCTGGCAGCGGGCAGGACTGGGGTGAGCGGCACCAGTATCACTGGGGATGGGGGAAGTGGGGGGTCTTGGTGAGAATCGCTCATGTGGCTGCTCCAATACCCCAGTCGAGCAGCATGGTGATCAGGCAACAGCTACAGCACTGCTCCCTCAGTGCACGGGAAAGGGTATGGGATGCGGGAGCCCCCAGACACTGCCCTCTACCACAGGCACCGTCACAGCCCAGAACTTCTCCTGCTGGAAGAAATGCAACTCCCTCAACTCTTTCCACTGCTCCTGGTCACCCCTCGGCCCTGCCGGCAACACCTCCTACTCCCTGAACCTCTGGTGAGTTGGGCATTGTGGAGGGGGATGGGGAGCCCATGGGATGTGTCCTGCCTCACTCGGATTTGACCTTGTGCCCGCTCCCTCCCCAGCTGGCAGCACAAAGGGTGTAGCCAGTTTGATGCACACAAGATGACAAACTACAAACTGCCACATCGCAAGCTGTACATCTTAAACAACGCTGTGGCCTGGGTGGAGGCAAGCTGGGAGGGCCACTTCCACAGGACCCCCAATATCACATTTGTCTTCAATGAGGCCGGTAAGTGCCTGTGGGACCAGGCTGGACACCAGCACCAGGGCCAATAACTGCCGAAACCACTCAAAACAACATCTTTGCAGAAAAGCCAGATCCACCTCCCACACCGGTGCCCTTCTCCAAGACCGGCGGCCAGCTGAGGCTGCGGGTGCCACAGCCACAGTGCTCTGGCATGGACCAGCCAGCAGAGCGGGAGGCTCGATCCTGGAGGGCAGGAGACAGCAGCTGGACACAGGTAAAAATGCTGTTTGCTGGAGCTGGGACAGTTGGGAGCACCGTGGCAGCCCGGGGAGTGTGGGGGCTCAGTGATGTCACCGACCCCCCCCCCAAACCCAGCTGTGCCCCATCTGTTTCGCTGCATTATCGGCTCTGCCTCATCTTCTGGCCATGGGATCCTGCTGCTTCCCATAACAGGATCAGGCCGTGATTCGCAGGGATTACACAGGCAAAACCCCAGATTATACTAATGACGACAACAGATGAAATCTGGAGGCTTGTCCCTAGTGAAGCCCCCGCAGCTGGGGACCCCCTGCTCCTCTCAGTTGCTGCCAGGAGGGTCCCAGTGTTGAAGAGGGACTACCCCAACCAAGGAGATCTCCTGGGCCACCATGTCCCCTCTATTTGTTTTTCCCAGCACCTGGGATGATTGCAGATCACACTGATGGCCCAGTAACATACTGGTTTTACTAGGAGGGTGTCTTCATTCCCAGTTTTCTCTACAGGTGGAATGTACGACTGTGATGGTGAAAGATGAAGATGACTCAGGTTGGTTGAGCCTGTGGGGATGTTGGGGACAAGCATCTTCTGGGGGTATTCCCAGGTTCTGGCAGAATGCTCTGCCCTGTGCTCCCCCCCAGCACCCCACAATGGCCAAAAGCTGGGGGAAAGAGGGGTCATCCCCCACCTGACCCTGCCACCCCTCTCTAGTGAACTGTACCCTGAAGGGGAATGGCACCTTTGTAGTCCAGCTACGGCAAAAGACCTGGAGCAGCTACTGGAGTGACTGGAGCAGCAACATCTCTGTTCCCGAGGGTGAGGAAGAGGAGGGGAGGCTGGTGGGATCCTACCAGCTCCCAAAAACTTTGATTGCTCAGTCAGGCTTATCCCTCCTGCAGAAATCCTGGAGAGCCCAGTGCTGAGCCACCAACTGGAAAAACTAGGAAGAGATGGGCAGCGGGTGCTGAGGCTGAGCTGGCAGGTACAGCAGCATCCCTGGGGACCCTCCTGAGTGTCCCCGCCACCATTTCATCCCCCACTCTCCCTCCCCAGCCAGTCCTCAAGGGACAAAGGGATGTCAACTACACACTGCATGCCCACATGCCGGCGTGTGGCTGTGCTGAGCTGGATGAGGAGGATGTCGTGGTGCTGGGGTGGGAGGTGAGGGAGCACAACCTCACCCTGTCTGGAGCTGAATATGAAATCCTGCTGAGGGCCGTCAACGCCGCCGGGCCGGGGCCGGCGTCACAGCTCCACGTGCCGGCAGAGCAGCATAGAGGTACCTATCCCACAGGAGGGCTGAGCTCCCCTGGCAGCCCCTCAGGGAGTTGTTATTTCCAGCTATCCCTCACATCCACCATTTCATCCCAGATCTCAGCTTCAAGGATGTCAGCGTGGCCGGTAGCACCGTGACGGCACGATGGGAAGCACCAATCCCGGGCGAGGCCTATTGCTTCGAGCAGCAGGTCCTGGCAGAAGCCCCCCAACAGGGTGTCTGCATCCAAGAGGAATTCACTGCCAAGAGCATCCACGTGGAGAAAGGCAAGGGAGCACCCCAAGCCCCCCCACCTGGGGTCAGAGCGTGTTGGTGGCCTAACCAGCACCCCCGGTTCCTGTCCCAGGAGCACTGGGAGCGCCGGCGTGTCACCGCCTCGCTGTGCACGGCTGGGACCCGGAGCAGGGCTGGGCCACCTTCGCCCTGTGGCACCACTATGCCAACAACGGTATGTGTGGGAGCACAGCACATCCATGCCTGGTTTAACTCCAGAAAGGGGTTCCTGAAACACTCCCCAATTTTTTGGCACCACTACCTGTAGAGTCGCTGGACGTGCCCATCAATATCAGCAGCGGAGATGCCGGCGTCGTCCTCCAGTGGAAACCGTCCCCCCGCGCCGCCTGTCCTGGGGTGCTGGCCAAGTACCTCATCTGCCACGTGGCTGAGAGGGACAACATGACCTGTGAGTGGGACTCCCCTAGCCCTGTGGGGCAGGAGGAGGGTGCTGCCCAGGCAGCTGCCAGACTGCTGCCCGCTTGTTGATGTTTGCCCAGACAGTGAAGCTGACGCCACAGCAGTGAACTACACCCTCCAAAACCTCCAGCCCGGCACAGCCTACAGGGTGGGTGTTCGGGAAGTGACAAAGGAGAGCGAGAGGACCTGCAGTGCTCGGCAGAAATTCCATACCAAGGCGTTAGGTAATGGCTGGGACCCCATCCTCTCCCCACTCCCCATGGGGTGCTCACCCTCACTCCGAAATGTCTCTTGTGTCCCATGTGGGGTGTTGGGGACAGGAATGCCACCACCCAGCCGTGCCTGTCCCCAGGTCCCCAGGGAGCAGTGTGGAGAGCTAACCTGAAGTACCTGGGCATCTCGCTCAGTGTCCCCGTCATGGCTGCCATCTACCACCTGACCAAAAAGAGGTGACAGCAGCACCCTCGCCCCCCACGCAGCTCAGGCCATCCTCCATTGCCCAACCCCTCACTAACCACCCCCTCCCTTCCAAGGGCTCGCCGCCTCCTCTTCCCACCTCTTCCCAAGCCCGTGGGCACCAATGCCATCCAGTTCTCTGCCGGCGAGAAGGGCCAGGTGAGATGCAAGGTGCTGCCCACAAATGCCCACACATGGTCCTGGCAAGGGACATTCCACCCCAAACCTACCCAACCCTTAGGGCCAGCCCTGGACAGGCCTCCTGGAGCCCTCGGAGAGGTTCAACCCGGCTGAGCTGCTGCTGACGGAGCTGAATCCCAGCAAGGAGACAACTGACACCATCACAGAGACTGATGTGTCACAGCCCAGCGTGCCACAGCCCAATGTGTCACAGCCCAGCGTGCCACAGCCCAACGTGCCACAGTCCAATGTGTCACAGCCCAGCGTGCCACAGTCCAATGTGTCACAGCCCAATGTGCCACAGCCCAGCGTGCCACAGCCCAATGTGTCACAGCCCAATGTGCCACAGCCCAGCGTGCCACAGCCCAATGTGTCACAGTCCAATGTGCCACAGTCCAATGTGCCACAGCCCAGCCTTGTGACGGAAAAGCCAGCGGAGGTGCTGGTGGTGTGTCCACCAGGCTGTGAGGAGGAGATGACCTTTGCCTACCGCAGGCAGGAGATGCTGAGCCCAGTGGGATTTCCACCACCTGGCAGCACCAGCTGCACTGGGCATCCACCTGGCGAAGAGGAGGAGGAGGAAGAGGAGGGAAGGCAGGGGCTATGCCAGCCACTGATCCCCATTGCCCTGCTCATCTCCAACAAATCCATCATCATCAGGGACCAGGAAGGATGGGATCCATCGCCGGAGAAGTCAGTGCCATAGCCATCACCAGGCTGGAGCAGCAGGGATGGATGGCAGGAACAGGGTGTCCAGTGGGGTGCTGAATGTCTGTGTGGGATGCTGGGTGTCCACCCCATGGGATCATGGTCAAGCCAGCACTTTCAGGGGTTTTTCTGGTTTCCAGGACAAGGAAGGTGATGTCTCTGGATTCTGTGTTGCACCATGCCAGGTTTTAGCCGCACACTTCCCAGCCTCAATTTTTCACCAGGAATAAAAACCAAGGGATGGTGGCTCCAGAGTCTGCCCAGGGCTGAGGGTATTTCCTCGGCTGGATCAGGAGGAGAGGCAGAACTTCATCCCTGCCAGCTGCCACCACTGGGACCAGCATCCCCTCCATGGGATGGGGACGCAAAGCACCAAACACCATCTACCTGCAAAAAATAAAAAATCGGCAAAAAATAAAGAGGAAAAAAAAAGCAAACATAAAAAATTAAGTAACTCCACAAAGCAGCAGGGCTGAGATGGTTTTTCCTCGCCTGACCCGGGCAGATTGCAGCAAGGATTTAGAGCCGAGGGCAATCCATGGCGCTGTAGAGGACACAGCCGGTCTGGGGTGATCCCTCGGCCCCCCCCAGCCCCTTCGTGTGGGGCCACGTTGCTGCCTCGGGCTTTATCTGGGGCAGAATTGGAGATGAAAAGCGATTTGTGGTTTTCTCTGCCTGGCGGCGTCGGCGCTGACTTGCTGAGAGAGCAAAAAATTTAAAAAAAACTACAAACTACGTGGGGTTGGTAGCACGGGGAAGTCCAGGTAAGGCACCGCCGCGGTGTCTCAGCCACCAGCGCACGGCTCGGCCTCCCCGCTGCTGCTTTTAGCTCGTGTTTTGCAAAGGATTTCACCAAAATCGCGCTCGCAGCACCAGCACCGCAGGCGGAAACGGCGCCGATGCGGAGACACCGCACCGGGAGCGCGGGGCTGCGGGGGCACGGTCACCTCGCAACCCCCGCCAGCGACGGGTGGGCTGGGATATATGGCCATTCCCAGCGCTCCAGAGGTGAAGTGGCTGCGATGGTGTTGCTCCTATGGCTGGGGGTCCCGTTCAGGACCCTCATCACTGTGCTACCGTCCTCGTGCCCACCGGTGTCCGGCACCTTCACCCAGCCCAGGACGTTCAGCTGCTGATGAAGCCACGAGGTGGCATCAGCCCCACGTCCCCACGGCGCTTCCCAACCTCTTGGCAGAGCAAATTCATCCTTCCCTCCCCGCCACGCATCACCTCACAGGCCCCCTGTGTCCTCTCTTGCGCACCCCCAAATCCCTGGGGATCGGCTGGAGGCTGGAGATCTGGCGTCCTGCCACGCAGAAACCCAGGCGCGGGGATCAGATTTAGGGATTTTGTTGGGATTTGGGCGATGCCAGACTCACTGTCGGAGCACACCAGGCACACAGGGAGGAAGTATCCGGTTACAGGAGCGGTTCACACTCGAGTTTAAGCCCCGGCCCCTGTTTACAGCCCGGTTTTTGGGGTCAGAGCAATGAAGGAAACAGCTCTGGGGTCACGGCTCAGCACGGCTGGGTGGCAGCAGTAAACACATTGCCGGTCTCGGGGCCAGAGCCGACGCCAGTTAATCATTCCGGTTCACGGAATGAGTTCACAGCAGGACAGACAGTCCCAATTGCTGCATTAAAAACACCCTGGGGAGGGGGAACAGCAGACCCCCCATGGTGTCACCCTCCAGGGATCCATCCACCCATGGTGGCGCTCAAACCCCCTCTGATGCCTTCAGGGATGGCCCTGTGCATCTTTTCCCACATGTGTCCCGAGCTGGCCAGTGCTCTGCCAGGAACATGGTGCCCATGAACAACGTGCCGGGGAAAACTAATCAAGCCATAACTTGCCAATTAGTGCGAGCGAGTGGCTCGGGACTTTCTAATTAGTTTAAATTTCACAGGATTGTTTTCCAAATGAGTTCCCGGGAGCTGTGTTGAGCCTGATGACCCAAGGGTAGCTGCCAGGCCAGACTTTGCAGCCAGGACATGACCTTCCCTGCTCCTCCATCTGGATCCGAATGGGTGCAGGACCCAGACATGCCACAGGGCATCAGTTATGCCTGGTGAGAGCCACCACCACCCACAGCCTGAGGGTGGGTAACTCGTTACACCCAACAGGAGACTCCAGGATAAGCAGCCAAAAGCCATCACAGCAGGGAAAATAAAGGTCAGCCCAGCTGGGGGGTGTAATGGTGGGGGCACAAGGGGTTCAGCATCGATCCCAAAGTCACCCCAAGCTATGGGTTCCCCTATTCACACCCACTGGTGCCAGCACTGCCCACACACCACCAGTGACAGTGCTGTTTTCCCGGGCAAACATGGAGCATCCCGACTTTAAAGGGGAAAAACCTCATCTTATTCCCTCCCTATTCCCACAGAGTCTCAGTCATATGTCCCCAAAAGTAAATGGCACGAGGGACATGTGCGGGTGGATTTACCTGGAAGTGGAAAACTCAGCACCACATCCCAAGAAAGCAGGTGGGGCAGCCAGAGCTGCAGCAAGGTGGTGGGAGCCTGGGGATTTGCCTTGAGCTCCCTGATTTTCTAGAATCATAAAAGTTGGAAAAGCCCTCTAAGATTATCGAGTCCAACCATTAACCCAGCACACCAGCCAAGCCCATCACTAAACCATGTTCCCAGGTGCCACATGGCTTTTAAATCCCTCCGGGGATGGGGACCCCACCACTGCCCTGGGCAGCCTGTTCCTGTGCCTGACCACCTTTGGGTGAAGAAATTTTTCCTGAAACCTTCCCTGCAGCAACTTGAAGCCATTTCCTCTTGATTTTGGGGGATGGAAGCTCAGATGGCACCAGAGGAAAAACATAGAACAGCTAGAGTGGTTCACTATGGCCCCATCAACATCAGCCCTTGGGAGGTCTAAGCCCCCGGGGAAGGCGAGGTCCATCCCTGTGGGTCCAGGCTGATATTTTTCCCCCAGATTAAGATGTTTTGCTCCCAGATCGAGGAGTTTAACCTGTTTCTCAGCCTCGGAGAAACAGCCCGCAGAGCCACAGCCTGGTTTTAGCATGGGCAGCAAAAAAGAATGTTGCAACCCTGCAACCCCTTCCCTCTCTCGTTCATCCATTCCTTTCCCAGCCCCTTCCCTCACCCATCCATCCCTCTCCCACTCGTTTCCCTACACCCAGCACCCTTTCCTCCTGCCTGAGCCCCATCCTGGAGAAGAGCCGATGCCAACGGGATGTTTGAGCCCAGCTCGACCACCAGCTATGGTTAAGAGCAGGATTATTTGCCAGGCAAAAAGCCATTGCTGCCACCACCTCCACAATGCCACCCGCTGCCAGGCAGATTAGGTGACTAAATCCCTAAGCAAACAAACTGATCCCTGGGATTTTTTTTTTTTTAGGGTTTTTTATTTTTTAAGCAGAACTCAAAGGCTGTGTCTCGCCCCAGCGGTGAACAGCTCGTTTCATCCACCCCCCCAGCACTGGCAAAACCTCGGTGGGCGGGATGCTCGGCAGATCCCTGGGGCAGTAAAATCTCAGCAGCTTCGGAATTTGGGCTTTTCCTCTCTAAAAAAAACTTCTGGAATTCTTCTCACAGCAAAAAAACCTCCATGCATTGCTGGCACAGGCATCCTGCAGCGGGGAAGGGGCTGCGTGGCCCACGGCTGGACAGACGGACACATCTGGACAAAGAGCCGCCGGCCACAGCTGGACTCAGCTTGTTTTGAAAGTCACGGGTGTTTCAGCGCCGGCGTTTTGCAACAGTTCGGTGTCACAACAACAACAACAACAACAACTCGGTTCTACTTAGCAAACAGGCCCCGCGGCCACTCCGGCTCTTTCCTGCTCACGTCAGCCCGAACCCGCCTGCAACAGCCTCACCCGGGCCAGCACTGTTTCCAAACCCAAGGAGGGAAAACGACTTCAAGCAGCACCAAAACTGAATATTTAACAAACCGAGGGGGGCTTGGAGCTGCCTCCGGGACTGCACTGGGTGCTCAGCTCGCTTCAAAATCCCGCCGGGATGCTGCCTGTCCCAGCACGCGAGCTGGGAGAAGATGGTGAAAACCATCTTCTACCCTCACAGGGACGCTCGGGCGATGGCAGGAAGCATTTTCTTTCTGCAGTTTTAACGTTTTCGGATGGCTGCTCTCAGGGCCGGCAGCCCCGGGGGCAGCTCAGACGCTGGCACGGCCAGAGCTTTCCAGGCTTTGGCAGCTGCAAAGCCGCAGCTATTGAATTGTGGTTGTTTTTCTTTTCAACGGAAACTTTATAATAATAGTAAAAGAAATCATAAATCCAGGGTGTAGGGAGGTGGGAAGCCGCCTCCGTGCGATTCCCTGGGTATCGGGTGATCGGGAAGGGGAGGACGCAGCGCTCTTATCAGCACACGCGTTCCCTGCCCACTTGGCAGCGGAGCCGGCCGGAGGTTTGCAGCATAAACATATTTTGCTCAAGCAGGCGGCCAGAGTTGACCTAAGGACAACTCGATAAGAACCAGAGAACCCCCCAAAATCCCCTATTTACAGCACACACACCCCCCCGCATCCGTGCAGGCTCATCCCAGAGCAAGCAGCCTGCCCGGCTTTGCAGCGATAAACACAGGACCAAGAGCAACGCCCCCTCTCCCTGCTCCGCTCCCCCGATGTTTACCAGCTCTTTGCAGGCAGATCGACTCTCTCTCGTTTTTTCACAGACCAAACCGCCGGGAAAGCGGAGGGAACCTGCTCAGCGCCCCCCCCGGGACCGTTCGGCAGCACCCTCCCCACCGGCACTGCCCGCCACAGCCACCTCCAACCAGCTGGGACCTCCGGGGCTATCACTGCCTCCATCGCCGGGCCGCGATGTGGTGGCATTTACATAGCTGCTCAGCAGGAAAATGCCTCTCCCTGCTCCACACAAATGCCTGCATTAAAAAATAATGGGACGCAGGCTTGCTAATGTGGTTGTGAAAGGGCAGGGGGCATCCCTGCAAGCTGCCTTGAACTCAGAATATTCTGTGGTTCTGATTCTCCCCCCCCAAAATTGAGCTTAGTCTGAGTTTTTTTTGTTGAAATCAGCTCAAAATTGCTGCTTATTGCAGAGTGGTGGGGAAGAAAAAAAGGGCATAACCCTGTTTCGGAAGACTTTGAGGCTGGGAAATGGGAGGAGAGATCAGAGCCGTGGGGTTTGACAGGGTCACACCATCATTCCTGCCCCAGAGCAAGGATGAGGTGACAGTGAGCAGTGAGGGTGACAGCCCCGACTCCTCCCTTCTCAGCGGGGAACGCCCAGAGCAGCCCAACAGGGAGGGAGGTGGTGGCACACGCCCCACACGAGCAAGGTTTTAGCTGTGGGGAGATTTGGGGGTCAGGGCGTGGGGTGTCCCCGCGGCAGGGGTCGGGCACCCACCCCATGCTCGATGGGGGTTTCTC